AGGGAGGAGGAAAGGGAGGAGGCGAGCAAACGCGGAATACAAAGCAGACCGAATGATAGAAGGAGTTTTTGGGTGGAGGGCAGAGAGGGAAGGGACCCCCTGCCGTCTATTCAAACCGCGCTTGAGTTATTGCCGTGGATAATCTGTAAATGTATTTATTTTGATTTTTGCCCGTGAATTTTATTTGCTCTCTTTCCTTCTTCCAGTTGTCTCTTCTGCATCCTTATTTCTTACGATTTGATTGTCCGAGTCTAATTACTTAGAAAAGATAACGGTAAAATCAGGAATCAGAATAATAGTATACAGTAATAATAGTAGTGATGATAATTCAGTTAGTCGAAGAAAAAAAAAAAAAAAGAAAAAAAAGTAAAGGGAAAAATTCGATTCCAACAAGAAATTTCTTCTCCCGATGGTTATACGCTTGATTGACAGAAGCGAGGGGCGAGGGTAAATTGGAGAAACGAGAGGCGAATGGGATAGGAGAGACAGAGGAGCCGGCACGCAATGCCTGATCTGCTCATGAGCGTGGAAATCCCCCGTGGCAGCCTTGGGGTTCCGAAACATCAGCGTGATTGCGTTCCTCCAGCGAAGGTATTCCATTACCGGGTACCCTCATTCCAGTTTCCACCCCCGCGCTCGACAACCGTGCATTCGACGCGCAAACCGATATGGTTCGATGAATCGTTGCAAACGCGCCTTAAAACCTGCGATGAACTTTCGCTCGCGCGACATCGTTTTAATCGATGTGAAAATTTGGTGAAAATACAGTGAGAAACGGTAATCTGATTAATGTTAGAACTTGGAAATTAATATGTCGTTTCGATCGTGTATATTCGTAATCACGTTTGTTTTAGTTGAATTTATTCGATGGATAGACAAAAGTTTGAGGAGTATGTGGATTAGAATATAGAGGAGAAATTAGTACCGCTGATTTTCGTGTGGTGCGCTCGAGTCGATTGATGTACATGACGTACGATCGAGAGCAAGTAACTTTGAAAGTATTAATTTTTCCAGTCCATGTTCTTTTACTTCTTTTCTTCATTCATGGAGAGTACTGTATCTGTAAGTTATAAATTTTGTATCCAATTCGAATATTAAAATGTTGTATCGGTTAATACTTTCGGATAGATTTGACGATACGAAGGTAAGTTGAATAAACAAAATTCCAGAGAAAGGTTATAAATAAATTTGATAAATAAGTAAATATCCGCGGTGTCTCTGTAAGTATTTAAGTAACATGCTTATAGATATATCTTTTAAGTTATAAATCGTTCGATCGTATACATTTGTAATTATCACGTTTTAGAAATTTATTCGACGGATAGACACAAGTTTGAGGAGGATATACGAATCAAGGCTGATGAGAAATTAGTATCGCTGATTCTCGCTGTGGTGCGCTCGAGTCATTGCATTGATGCATGAAGTACGATAAACGAGTAAATTTTAAAACTATTTTTCCAATCCATATTTTTTGGAAGACTTCTTCACTCGTGGAATACATACTATTTGTAAGTTATGAACTTTAATTAAATTATAGGTAGCTAGTAATTGGATCCAACTTGAATGTCAAAATGTATCAGTTATACTTTCAGATGGATTTGACAGTACAGAAAGTAAGTTGAATGAACAAAGTTCCAGAGAAAGGTTATAAATAAATTTGATAAGTAAGTAGATATCCCTGTAGGTATTTAAGTAACACGCTTATGAAATAATAATACGAAGAACGAGGGGAATTTGGGACTCGTGGATAATGAACTGTGAAATACGTTCGACCTCGTTTCCGAATTAATCTTCCTTCTGTCCTGAATGTTTCTTGGACTGTTTGGACGTGTTTATCGGCGCGTGTCTCGACTCTCGGATCGGATATAAAACTTTCCACCCTTAAAAATTTCTTCTTCGTCAAACGTGATAAATATTCTCGTTACATTTTGTCCGATTGTACTCTAGAGCCAAAATTCGGTCGAATCAAAATTCTCTCTCTCTCTCTCCCTCTTTCTCTTTCTCTCTGTGAAACGTTGGTGAAAGGACAAGAGGACAGAGGTTTCTCACGCGAGATCTCCATTTTCATGGGCGCAATTTAATCGCGGCCAGGATGTCTACCAGCGAGTCGCACGAACGAATGAACTAAACTTTCGAGAGCTATCGATTATCAGCCCCCCGCTATTCTCCTCTGTCGCTCAGGACATTCTCCTCCTACCACCATCCCGACATTCATTAGCCCCGGCGAAGTAATTTAATTTGTCCCAGGATTTGTGGAATGTTAATGAAAACAGGACAGCCATCCCTGTATCAATTCCTGATTAAACTTGGTTCCTCCTATTCCATTCCCTCCCTCCCCCTTTCTTCTTTGTTTATCGAGCAATTGTCGGGAATATAACGGTTCGTGAAAGAGAAATTGGGAAAAACGTAGATGATTGAAAAAAACTTAAGTTAAACGAATCAAATTCGCACGTTACATATCGATCTAGATCACTAATCTTCTCATTACTTTCAAATCGACAAACGAGAAACCACCTCCTCGAAAAAAAATCTTTCGATCAACTCCAGCGAGCCATGGTATCTACAAGCATTCCGCTTGTGCAATGGTGGCCATACGCGTGTCCATGGTTAGGTACACGTAGTAGACGTGATAGGTTAAAGCCGGTAGGTTGGCGCGTCCAGATTCCAGGACGGCGGTTGCGGGAGAGAATGGAAGCGTGGCGACAAAGGGGAGGAGAAGGGAGGGGAGAAGAGAGGAGGAGGAGGATGGAAGCGGGTTAAATGGGGTTCGCTGGGAGTGACGCGGGGCTAACCGAGCGGAATCACGAGCTCCCAGGAATCGAATCCATGCGTCACCCAGGCCTGCCAACACCATTTGCACCCACCACCAACTTCCACGGACCTTAAGTTCCGCTGCCAGCCATCCACCGGAAATCCTCTCCTCCGCGCTTCGATTAAACACTCGGCTCTCTCT